TATTATCACTATTATTAATATTATTAAATTGTTAATGTTACAATTGTCAGATTTTATTCCATTCTGTAAGTGGCGGGTTTTCTCTGTTGAATAAGAGTACAATGTGAAGAAATGTATACAACGATCTCACGACGATGTGACGATGATCAGAATTTTACTAAAATATACTGTGTACTTCATTTTAATCATGAAGAAAAAGGATGCAGAAACTGTAATACCGTATTTACATTTCATTTTAATTATAAATAACCTGTGGCCGAGTTGATTTGTGGCCGAGTTAACTTGTGGCCGAGTTGACTTGTGGCCGAGTTGACTTGTGGCCGAGTTGACTGCAGCCGAAGTTTTTGTGGCCGAGTTGATTTGTGGCCGAGTTGACTTGTGGCCGAGTTGACTGTGGCCGAGTTGACTTGTGGCCGAGTTGACCTGCACCCATTAATTATAGGCCTAGTAAATAGGTTATTGATTACAAGACTTAGGCCAAGGAATGCTGAAATTATTATTATTATTATTATTATTATTATTATTATTATTATTATTATTATTATTATAATTATTATTATTATTATTGTTATTTAACATTAATTACATTACAGGAATAGTTTGGCCAAGTTCAATAACGCCGGAATGGTATATTTTATTTATTACGGTATTATTTAATAATATTTCTCTTATGCACTCTATTTTTTATTTCATGCTTCAATTTTTTCCCCTTTTTTTCAAAATTTCAATCAACGTCATGTGAAGCGTGACTGTGTTGGTGTCAGTCAGGACCCTAGCCTAAGGACCAGCTAGGCCTAGTTTAGGGAGGGCCTATGGTAGGACTTAACTCAGCCTGCTTTAGGCCTGCAGTAGTTTATCTTCTTTCTGTCAGCCTTTGGTGTACGTCCTATCTACACTTTATAAAGGGGGGTACTAGCTGTTGTTGTTGTAAATATTATACTAACATTTAATAACATACAAGAAGGTCACATTACATCCCATAAATCCGTAAGATTTCATAGGCCTACTGTAGTAAACATAGAAAGAGCAATAAAAGTAAAACTCGAGCGTCACGACATTGCGAAGTGTCTGCTCTTGTTCCTCGTATCGAACTCGAGTCAATCCGAGATGGCCCGAGTGAAGTTTCATGCAAATGTTTCGTACGGAAAAAAAAATCGCTGGGTTAGCCTCATCCTTCCCATCATGCTTGCTAAATAAACGAGAGGTCGCTGCAGAGAGGTCGTCGAGGATCGGAGCGGGACTTTTGAAAATATATTTTGTAAATATTAAAATAAAAACATTTGTTGTTTCAAGAGCCTAAGGTCAAGCCAGGCCCAGTCCACCAAACCAGGCATAGGCCCTAGGCCTAGCCTAGGTCTAGGCCTAGTTATATGGTAGTCTAGTACGTAGTAGGCCGGTGTACCTAGGCTAGGCCCTAAGGCTGCCTGCCTAGCCTGGCTAGTTACTGGGCCCTAGTAGGGTAACACCTAGAACATAGGCTTAGGCCAACATTGATGGAATTCACATAGGCAGGCCTAGGCCAACATTGATGAAATTCACATATGGCAGGCCTAGGCCTAGTTAATTTCGAATCAAGGAAAAAAGAAATCATAAGAAATTATAATTTTTCTATTTTTATTCAATTTGATAGTAATTTTCGTCTTAACTTAGTATAGGCTAGCCCAGGCCTAGCTAGTTAGTAGTTAACTGATTCATTTCTTAGTTACTAAAAATGTGTTAAGTTAAGGTCACATAGTCACCCTTTCCTTTGTTATTCAGATGCTTCAATTTGTTTTTTGTCTCCATTAATTTTCGTGTAGAGTTTACTTGGTTATAATGAACGGAATAAGTGATTTAGAAGAGAGTCTTCCAGAAACTCCAGTTCAGAATATACACATAGAGGTCTGTCAAAACCCTCTCAGGTAAGCCACTTGATTTGTCCATATAATACTGTACGACAGTGACGAGACCGCTACCGACGATTTCAACAATATTTTAAAATCTTTATTGTCATAACCTGGTTTTAATTTAAGTGTATCTTAAATCTTTTCACTATTGTTATTTTGTATTTTAACACCGCATTGTCCATATGTTTTATTTTCTACTGTAAAACCAGATTTCAAGACACATTTCTATTGTATTTTAATGTAATATGATGGATTACTTAAAGCACTGAATTTGATTAGAATATTATATCATACCTGTAATGATATAATTAGAATATTATATCATTACAGTTAGACTTTGCCTAACTCAAATATTATTCACCTTTATCATTATTATTATTCTTTAACAAATAATTTGAAATTACATTTATAAATCCTAGGAAGGCTACTGTACACCATTGTTTATTGTTTTTTGTATTATTTATTTAAATGTTTGATTTGTATACAGTACAGCAAAACCGACCCTAATACAAGAACACACGGAACGTTTATTACGGCATCATCGCGTCATCTTTGGTAATCTTAAAATAACAGAATTTGACGATGAATTCTTGGTTGAGCACGTAAAATCCATTACAGTATGTGACACAGAATTAGAAACAGGGAAACAGGTACACATAATTATTTTAATACTATTTTGGTACTTTTGTCTTTACCTGTTTTGAAATGTTTACAGCTGCCAAAGATTGACTACTGTAATTCCTATGGTATAAACTCACCCTTCGCGAACACAAGATAGAGCCAATTTTTTGGGGGTGGGGTACCAGGGGAATCCCCTTTTCAATCAAAAGGCAGTATGTTCATCACTGTATGCCTAATTAAAAAACTAATATTTTATTATTTTTTTAGAGTATTATAAAAGTCAGCCTAAGCTATTCATTCAAATTACCCAGGGCTTTTGCCCGAGGAAAGGCTGGTAAGTAAAAATCGATGTAAAGTAGGGGATGGGGCTTATACCCAAGGAACTACAGTACTGTATATTCAATTCAATTCAAAAGACATTTATTTTCGTCCATAAATAAAACAACAACAATGAAAGAGAGCACAAAGTATAGTACAATGCGAATAATTATTTAAGAACAAATTTAAAGATAAAATAAGGGCCAAGTACAGAATTTTTAAAATTAAAATTAAAATGTATGTTGATTCCATAATTTTCTGTATGTGCCATAATCTTTTATACTTTTTTTTTTGTTTTTTTGCCATATATGTAAGGTAATTGACATGTGTCATTCCAAGCTATCTATACATGTGTACAAACTGGGAATGGATGGACCAGGCCAAGAAGAACTTGACGATGAGGAGCTTTCAGCAGCTAATCACTGGTTGTTACCTTCCGGTACATAATGAAACACTGAAATGTTGTTTTTTTTTTTTTTGTAATTATGTATATAATTTTCATTATAATTATTATCAAATGTTAGTATTATTATTATCAATATCATTATTATTCATTATTTTGTATGAATAAAATATAACCTTTATAAGTATACAGTGTGGCACTGATGGGCAAACCGTAGCCAGACTATAATCTAGACTATAGAACCGCTTGTTTTTATAGCCTGACACCTGTCATTTGCAAAAAGTAAAATTAAAACTGTGCATGACGGTCTTTCTGGAAACTTAAAGCTTAGATGTGCCCCTCAGTAATAATTTAAAAAAAAAAACTTTTTCCCCGACCCATTTTCAGGCCCACCCCTGCTGTATGGTATTCGTTTAGAGGTGTAATACAACAATGTTACACATAGAAGGAAACAAAATTAATGCATCTTCAAACATTTACAAATGAGTAACATTAATAAAGAGATACATGTACCTGTACTATGATATAATCCAATACTTAAGAATTGTCTATATACTTTTCCATTTTAATAAATATAGCAGAATAATTGTTTTTATTTATAGTTGATTTTGATGGAATGTGGGAAAATCTAATCTTTGATGACAGTATAAAGACCCAACTACTGCAATATGCTCACACAACTCTACTATTCTCCGATAGAAAAGTTGATAGTAACATCATCTCTTGGAATCGAGTGGTTCTTCTGCATGGTAAGGGGGTTCGCAGTTTCAATGCTGGCTTTAAACTATTTGATAAAGTTGGAAAAACCTATTAGCACTCAGAAACACAGGGTCATGTTAATAATGACCTTTCTGTTCTTCAGTATAGTGTCTGCTGCCTTCATGAGTTAGATAGACACAAAAGATATGATACGATACTCCTTTATTGTCATTTTAGCAACATGGTAAAAATGAAATTAGTTTTGATTGATCCGATAGTCAAAAACAGTGTAATTCAGTAATATAAAAAGTATGAATAGTAGATAATAAAAAACACATTCCTTGAGAGAATCATATGGGTGGGTGGGGGTCTCATAATCAAAAAGAGACAACCATGACCCACCGGCTGAAAAGAAAAGGCGACAGCGCTGCCCTTAATCTGAAAAACAACCAGAAACTAACACTAAAAGGAGACAGAGAGACAGAAAACAGCAGACTGTCTGCTGGTGGATCACGGTGAGTCCCCCAATCACCCGAGAAGGTCCCCACCCACCAATACAAGACATAGCAACATTTAATTGAGGAGTATTATTGTCCTGAGATTAGGTGCTCTATTTGGCATTTCACATGGAGAACCAAGGTTCAGCATACATAAACAAGTTATTGTTGTAACTAAATACAACTTTTTCAAATCCCTGCGTATTCCTTTAATTACAGTAGTACTAGATAGGCTATGTACAACAGACTATTATATTTTTGTAATGCTAAATTACCTGTTGCTACATATTTTCACTCTTAGAAGAAATGAGACAAACATAATGTGACACGCTAAAGTAAGGACGTCGAACCCCAACACCTCAAGGTTGCATTTCTGAGCAGCAACCTCTTTTTGTACACAGTTCTCAAAAATGCAAACACTATTACTACTTTACTTATATTTACTACACTCATCAGGGGTGAATCCAGAGATGTCCGAAAGTGGGGTGGCCGATGTCCTAGAAAAGGGACCGATCGAGAGAAAAAGCAACCCTAGATTGGTTTTAAGGCATGCCCCGGGAAATTTTCGTTTTCCGGACGCCCGGAAATAACCTCTAAAGCGTTTTGGCTGAACAATAATATATTTTTCTTTCTTTTTTTTTTTGATCTTTTTTACTTTCCTAAAAAAGGGGAGTGGGAGCTGGGGCCGACTCAATCCCCCCTAAATCAGGCCCTGCTCATTGTTATGAAAATGTTTTATTTTGCTTGTTTTGAACAGGTCCTCCTGGAACGGGGAAGACATCACTATGTAAAGCACTTGCACAGAAACTATGTATTAGACTCTCAGATAGGTAAGTCATACATATTAATGGTATGTTGACTAGATAAAGACAAATTGATACTGGTGCATTCTGCATTATACAAATGTTTTTTTATTATTGCAATGGAAGAATATATCTATGAGTAGAAATATGGACATTATTTGTATTATAATACACCAATATAAATCTCTCTCATTTGATATTTTATGAAAAATAAAGTTAGGTATACCTGTGGCTTTTGTGCCTGGAAGAGTTCTTAGCGCAGTGGTGTCATTTCATAGCCAGGATTTGGATGTCTGGAAAAAAGTGCCTGTAGGCATGCAGGTGAACAAAATGAAAAGAAATGGAGTTGATGAAAGCCAAATAATATTCCATTAAGTGGTGTAAATTGTTAACATAACATGATCTTGAATCCACCAATCAAATCACAATATATTTAGTATTTGTAATTAAATTATAGTGTAATGTACGATTGTTTTATCTTTGTATAATTTCCAGGTACACTTATGGTCAACTAATTGAAATCAACAGTCATAGTTTATTCTCCAAATGGTTTTCAGAGGTACAGTATTTTACTGAATATAATGCTATATTACTTATAATGTTTACTGGTGGGAGCCACTGTTAATGCACTGATCTGTGAAGGCCCATTCTGCTTTTTGGTTTCTGGTTCAAATCTAATCGCTGGTCTCCATGTGTTTCAGCAGGCAGGTGGAAATAGAAGTTATAGCATATTAATACTCCAATACTTGTCTGGGTGTAATTATATATACCATTTTCCTTTTTGTAATTACAAAAATGTAATGTAATAATAACAAAATGTTGTAGATTTTCAATAATATTTCAGCTGCTCCAAGTTTCTTTGTTCTTCTGTTCCTGTTGATAATATACTAAAATTAATATACAATAATCCTATCTAGTCAAGCCTAGGGCCTAAACCCTAGGCCTGGAACTTCCATGAATATCATGTGCATTGTAAACCCATTGTTTAACACATTTCAATCTTCCTATATTCAAAGCCGAAGTTAGTTCTGGTCTCATGCCAGTCCCTCCCCAGTACTCCCTGATTATAAATTTACGGGAAATCAGCCGATAGTGGCACATATGCATTTTGCTTGTTTTTTACTCAGTATAGACTAAAGTGATGTCTTACCACCATGGAGATTTATGGTTTTGTTTTACGACATTCAAAATCAAGAATTCACTTACTATCTGAAATCTAGATTATAAATTGCAGTTATATTATTATTTTTTTCAGAGTGGTAAACTTGTTATGAAGATGTTTCAAAAAATTCAAGAGTTGATTGATGATCCAAATTCCTTGGTGTGTGTACTGATTGATGAGGTGAGTTGGCCAGTGATGGATCCAGATGGAACTGGGATGCATGCCCTGTGTTTGCTTCCTATCCTTGGATAATTAGAAATGTATCAATTTCATTATTGAAGTACAATCAACTCCCCCCCCCCCAAATTTTGAAATCATCTCCCTCTTATTGTTTAAACATACTTTATAAAATTTGCCATCAAATTAGATGGAATTGGGACGCATGCCCTGTGCTTGCTCCCTATCCTTGGATATTAAAAAATTTATCAATTCCGTTATTGAAGTACAATTTATTTCCCCCCCCCCTCACTTTTTTTAAATCATCTGTCTGCTTTTGTTTCAACTTTTTAAAATTTGCCATCGAATAAGTGATTAATGAATAGTACACAACTGTTTCTTTAATTAGATTGTTTTTTGCACTAAAAGCCAAACCCTGTCCCCGCTGAGTTAAGTTAATTTGACAAATAAAATAACTTGCTTTAAAATTCAATATAACTTATTAGGCTGCACATGAGTAGAACAGATTGGCGCAACGGTTGTGTCTTGGGGGTTTGAAATCCTTGTGCAAATCACTTGTCTCCTTAGGCAAGACATTTATCTACTTTTGTCACCTTCCACCTAGGTGTATAAATTGGTACCGGCATATGTTGGGAATGTTAAAACAGATTGCAGTGCGGGGGGAGTGGCTAACCTCCCACACTCTTGCACAGTCAGGTCCAAACGCCAAGGAGAGAGAGAAGGAGAAGGGCACTCTGACCTGTGAACCCAGAGCGTCAGG